GTGTCAAGATGTAACCCCAATACGCTGTTTCGTCAGGGCCTTTTCGTGATCCATCCGTGAAGAGTACCCAGTCGTAAGTTTTACCTTTAGGCTGACTGGCAGTAGGTTTCTTTTGTTGTACTTACGCCGGGCCTATTTCTAGGTCCGGATCCAGCAAAATGTCTTCCCATCRGCCCCATCTGGTGTTAGTCGCTCTTGTGCTCTCGATGGTGCCTTTCCTCAGGTATTTGTGTACCTGACTTTGTGTTGTGACTTTGATGGGCTGACCTTGGGCCAGATCTTTTTGTGGCCCCCAATATTTTGCTAACACTGCCAGTTCCTTCTCTTCTTGGGGGTATTTCTTCTCCACCGATGTCAGCGTTGTGCTCCACAATGTGATTAAGCCTCCTTGATCGTTACTCACCTTGACCATGGCGTCTTCGTTCTCGCAGAATATTTCTGCTGCCAGCCTAGAGGTCAGGTTTCGAGGTTCAMGTCTGASAGCTTTCTGGATCTCTTCTTTCAGCTTGTCAAGATCATCTTGGTTTTTGGGTGTCCATGACCATGCTTTCCCTTTGYGGCCTTCTGTYGTAGCCTCTTTTCTTAGGCATGCATACAAGGGTTTTGCATACTTCTGGTAGTTTGGTACGTGATCTCTCACATAGTTGCACAGGCCTAAGATTTTCTGCAGATCATTTTTGCCTCTGGGGGGTTGTATTTGTTGAATTTTCTCTCTGTAACCATTTGATAAGCCCAAGTCTATGGTGACTTGAAACCCCAGGTAGTTGACTTTAAACTGGCCAAACTGGCATTTTGCCAGGTTTAGCTTGAGGCCCGCTGTAGAGATCCATTTAACCACTTTTTCCAGACGTTTAAGGTGCTCCTCTTCAGTGTCATCTGCAATGAAAACGTCATCAGTGTACACTGAAGCTCCAACATCTTCAAGTATTTCCAGGATGGCTGATTGGAATACATTTGGTGAGTTTCTGTATCCCCGTGGTAGTCTTTGCCACACATAGCTTTTCCCTTTGTGAGTGAAAGCTGTTTTTCCTTGTGATTCATGGGCTAACCTGCGTGAGAAAAACCCATTAGCCAGGTCGATGCAAGATTTGTACTTTTTAACTCTGAGTGTTTTTGATGCTCCTTGGGGGTTGATGAGGCTCGCTCGATTTGCGACAGTTCTCCGGTTTAGGGCCTTGAAGTTGATCACCGACCGCCAACCTCCTCCTGCCGATTCAGGTTTCTTCACAGCCTGAATAGAGCTATTTGTGAGGGGATTTGGCTCTTCTCTGATGATTCCCAGTGCATGCAGTTCTTTCACTATTTTGTCCATTTCTGCTACTGCATCGGGGTGGAGAGGGTACTGCTTTACAGGTGGGTGTACCCCTCCTACAATGTGATGGCAAAATTTTGTGCCCAAGTCTCCGCAGTCATTTTTGAAACAAGCAATTCTGGCCAATTCAATTATTTGTTTTAATTTAATCTTTCCTTCTGGAGAAAAATTACTTTCCTCCAACTTTTGTTTAGTCACTTCAGGGAAATCCACTGGTTTGTACCATGTCATGGTGGCTGAGGGGCTTACTTTTATTGTTTCTGTTTTTAGCACTTCCAACTTTTTCCTTGCTGTTTTCTTAGCCTCCTCGGGGTCGTGTAGGATCTTCAAGTCTTTGACCGTTACCAAATTATAAGGTCCTTTTATCCATCTCACATTTTTCCAAATTCCATATGACATTTCCTCTATTGCCCCATTAGCCACTCGAACATATAGGTACCCTTCAGTCTCTAGGTCTTTCCGGGTCATGGATACCTCTGCCCCTGTATCCACCTCAAAGAGGGTTCCATCTACTTTGGTGTAGATGTGGTCCCCAATCCAGAAAGTGTTTTCCAGGGCGACCCGGGACCCGGGGTCCATCGTTTCGGCGGCCCTCCGGCCACTTGTTCCCTGGCCTGACGGAGGGCATCTTTTTGTTCAGGGGTCAAATTGTTGTACTCTTCAGGGGGCAAGTAAGGGGCCCTTCTTGGGCTTTGGCTCGGCTGAGCTGCCGGACTTCCTCTTCCAGGTCCCTGCTGCCTTTGCGGCGAGGGCCTGTATTGCTGTCTCTGGTTGCTCGGCTGGTACTGCTGATTCGAGCCTTTGTCCCTCTGCTGAGGGGTAGGCTGCTGAAATTTAACCTGGGGATTGCTTGGTTCTTTCAGGGCTGCTTTGGTAGGAACTTTGGGCGGTTTCTGGATTGATTCTTTTCTTCTTTTTTCATCCCAGTACAGCATTTCCAGGTCATATTTTCTCACTGCTGCATCCATTTGTGC